AGAACGGACTTCCTCCCCCTTGAGTTAAAAATAAAGTACCTTACCTTCTGCCGATCTTGTCGTGTGGCGTGTCCTATTCTTCTCTGTTCGTAATGTGTGTCTTGTCTGTCCGGTTTCTTGGAATGATCTGATGCAGGACGCGTACTTTGGGCGCGTTGTAATTAAGAATTAATGAGTTGACCCGCGATTGGTCAGTGATACCCAGAGTGTTGTAAAGATTGCACGCAGCGGGCTGAGTGGTGACAGTATGTCTGGCAGCCACATGTGTGCTATTGCTCTAGCTAGGGAGACTCCCGACAGTATATGGCACTATAAATGAAATTATAGTCTTCGCCAATAATTTGTTATTTAGCATGGCAAGTAACCACATTGAAGTGTCCAAGCTTCGCCTTTGGACTAAAGATAAGCTTTGAAAAGAGTTTTTGTTGCTTATTCACAAAATTCTTGACTTTGCCTAGACAACCCATTGATGCAGTCAAATCATTTGAGGTCAGACTGTGAAAAGACTTTAGACGGCTATTGACATCATTTTAATTTAATGAGTATTAAAAGAGAGCTTGGAGCTACAGGTGGAAAATATAGGGGCCAATTCACACTTGCCGCCATTTCATGATTTGATAAGCTATAGGGTATATTGCAACTCTATTTTAGATTTGGAAGTTGGTTATATGACATTATGATACCTTGATAGGTGATAAGTCTACAGCCAAATTAAGTTTCTCGGCCACTTTTTGAACATAGTAACATAGTGTAGTCGTCACCTACAAGGTTACAATGGTTACACAGTTTTTTAAACCAGTTCAGAGCCTATCTATGTATTTGTTGGTTTGAATGGGTCGTGTGTCGTAAGTGGGGCTGTGAGTTCAGGTGGTTAGGAGACAATTTGAGGAGGAGACCGCGCACTTTTTGCACCCCTCAATTCACTGCATGCAGAGAGAGTGGTGAGTATACACTATAGCCATTCCACATCAAATGTAGTTTTTATAAATAGAAAGAAACTATTTTCTCACGTTTTATTTTATGCAGTAGTGATGGTTTCCATTGGTAGTAATCTCTACATTTGGATAGTAAACAAAGACAGTGTCACTGTTATTTGCAGTCTGTTTTGTGTGTTGTCACAGTCTATGTTAAAAACTTTTTGGTTTCTGTCTTCTTGAGACACTAGAGGGCACCAGGGTCAGAGAAACTACCAGAACAAAGCAGAGGTTTTGGGCAGTAACTGAGCTTATATCTATGAAATGTCACTGGTCTATAGCCACTGTTTTGCTGACATTGCCATTTGGCATGCAGGCTGAGTAGAACTGGGTATATGTAAGGATGAGTAAAGAACTCTGTCCAGAACTACATTGTTTGGTGAAGTCCATGGTACAGTCCATGAGATAACATTAACTGACTGGAAATGGGCTGAAGATGCAAGAATGACAAACACTAGGAAAAACATGCCTACAGGAAAGGGGGGGGGGGAGGTCAAAAGAACAGTCCTTTTGGGCAAAAACAGTACACGAGGAATCATAATTTGAACCAGGGCTTTTGAATTTTATCAGGCTGGGTCAACTAAGAGGTAAAGAAAGTCCATTTTATTTGATCCTCCCAC